ACAAGGGAGAGGAGGAGCTGCTGGAACAAAGGAGGCCGCGATTCGCTGAGCTGTCAACGGGGAATTCGGAAGTGACGTTGCATGGCCGCCGGAGGATCAGAGAGAGAGAGAGAGAGAGAGAGAGAGAGAGAGAGAGACCGCCGGAGAGAGACAAAGACAGTCCTCTCTAGCTTCCTGTTTGCAGAAGAGTTGCTACACGTGGTGGTGGTGCAGCCAATTGAAGCGGGGAGTAGGAAAAATTGATAGGAGGGGGGCGTAATTTCTTTAGATGAACCTTGTTGCTTATTGTCAATTCACCTCTGATTTATCTCGCCTTTATGAATGAATCATATCGAAAATGCTCTGTCCTGGACGACCTTGCTCGGCTCTTGCATACTCAAGGCTGTAATTTCCTTTATTGAATCGATCCGTCTCATAGTTGGTCTTTTCCCGCTGTTTTCAGCTTTTCCTAGCATTACTGACTTTTCCAGCTAAAATTGTCTTCTCATGATGGGCCCCAAAGCAGGACAGCCTGGGTTTAGTTCGGGGTTGATTTGATCTAAGACCCATTTGTTTACCTTTCTGTTGTTCCAAGGTATCCTTAAAGCTGTCTTCCAGCAGCACATTTCAAACACCACATTTCCTTTCTGCTTTCTTAACTGTCCAGCTTTCACACTCATACATAGTGACTAGAAATACAAGAGCATTGATGATCTTATTTATTTAAAATATATCTGGCTTTTCTCCTTAAAAAGATCAAAGGCAGCATACATCATTAAAAGACAGTTTATAAAGCTAACAATGGCGAATATATAAATACAAAAAGGGTCAAACAAATAATATACTAAAAACACAAGCAGCACCAAATTCCACTCAAAGCAGTAAGGTACAACATTTCATTTAAAATGCATGCAGGTAGCCATTCACTCAGAGAAAGCTTGCTTGGCGAGAAAGGTCTTTTCCTGCTTGCAGATGGACAGTAAAGATGGGGCCAGTTTAGCCTCCTCTGAGAGGGAGTTCCAGAGTCTGAGAGCCCTCTCCCATGTACCCATGATGCAAACCTGTGGAGGTAGTGGCACTGAGAGAAAAAGCTCTTGATGATTCTATCACTGGAGCAGGCTCATAAAAGGAGATGTGCTCCTTGAGATAGCTGTGGCCCAAACCATTTAAGGCTTTATAGGCTAGAACCAGTACTTTGGTCTTGATCTCCAGTGACACAGTCTTTCAGTTTATGATTTTTCTAATTCATTGATGGCTGCCATTCCTAGTCTCAGTCTAGCTGTTGTGTAACTATTGTTTTTGTCTTCTTAATGTTCAACCTAAGGAGAAGTGTCAACAAAAGAGTGGGAAAAGCTGTACTGGGATACAATCTCAAAAATCATAGAATGATTTCAATACGAATCCAAGGCAGACCTTTCAACATCACAGTAATCCAAGTTTATGCACCAACCACTGATGTGGAAGAGGCTGAAACTGACCAATTCTATGAAGACTTACAACACCTTCTAGAACAGACACCAAAGAAAGATGTTCTTGTGATTATAGGGGACTGGAATGCTGAAGTAGGGAGTCAAGCAATAAAAGGAACAAAAGGTAACTTTGTTCTTGGAGTTCAAAATGAAGCAGGGCAAAGGCTAATAGAGTTTTGCCAAGAGAACAAGCTGGTCATCACAAACACTCTTTTCCAACAACACAAGAGGCATCACCAGATGGGCAATACCGAAATCAGATTGATTTACATTCTCTGCAGCCAAAGAAGGAGAAGCTGTATACAGTCTGCAAAAACAAGACCTGGAGCTGATTGTGGCTCTGATCATCAGCTTCTTATAGCAAAGCTCAAGCTTAAACTGAAGAGAGTAGGAAAATCCACTGGGCTCATCAGGTATTATCTAAACCAAATCTCCTATGAATACACAGTGGAAGTGAAGAAACAGATTTAAGGAACTAGATTTGATGAACAGAGTGCCTGAAGAACTATGGATGAAGGTTCATAACCTTGTACAGGAGGCAGCAACAAAAATCATCCCAAAGAAAAGAAAATGCAAGAAAGCAAAGTGGCTGTCCAACGAGGCCTTACAAATAACAGAGAAGAGAAGGGAAACAAAATGCAAGGGAGATAGGGAAAGTTACACAAAATGGAATGCAGACTTCCAAAGAATAGCAAGGAGAGACACGAGGGCCTTCTTAAAAGAACATTGCAAAGAAACAGAGGAAAAGAATAGAAAAGGAAAAGCCAGAGATCTGTTCAAGAAAATTAGAGATATTAAAGGAACATTTTGTGCCAAGATGGACATGATAAAGGACAAAAATGGTAAGGACCTGACAGAAGCAGAAGCCATCAAGAAGAGGTGGCAAGAATACACAGAGGAATTATACCAGAAAGATTTGGACATCCCGGACAACCCAGTTAATGTGGTTGCTGACCTTGAGCCAGACATCCTGGAGAGTGCAGTCAAGTGGGCCTTAGAAAGCATGGCTAACAACAAGGCCAATGGAGGTAATGGCATTCCAGTTGAACTATTTAAAATATGCCAGCAAGTTTGGAAAACTCAGCAGTGGCCAGAGGACTGGAAAAGATCAGTCTACATCCTAATCCCAAAGAAGGGAAGTGCCAATGAATGCTCCAACTACCATACAATTGCACTCATTTCCCACCCTAGCAAGGTCATGCTCAAAATCCTATAAGGTAGCCACGGGGGGGGGGGGGCAATGGGCAGTGCGAACAGTGGAATTCTCAGGGCTCTGAGAACCCCTGGGTTTTACTCGAAGTCAGCGGACCCCACAGGAAAAGGGGGGGCAAGTTTTCCACAGTATAAGTGGTCTTGCAGCAAATGGAGCTTGGAAACGCCAAGATTCAGACTTGCAATCTTTTTTCGGAAGAGTTTCCTTTCCTCATTGCAACTGACACATGAAGTCACCATGATGAATGGTGAGTAGCTGCCCGGTGAAGGGGGAGATATGAAGATTTATGATCTGACTGCATGAACAGAGATTAAATGAACTGCTATTTTTATGGCAAGTAGTAGATCAGAATTTTTTTTCTTGGAAGCTGATTGTGGAGAAAGATCTCTAAGCGGCATAGAACCTTGGTAAGCCCTGCAATGTTGGAAGTTTTTATTTACTGCGACACAACTTTGAGAACTGGGAAAATGAAACTAACTTTGTCTTTTCCACCTCAACCCTCCCTGCCCAAGAACTGGCTTGAGAACTTTAAATAACTCTGAACAATCTAACCTATGTGACTCTGCATTGAGCTATAAAGGTGGATTATAAATCCAATAATCGTCTTTATAACTAGAGTGTTCTTTGCAGAACTTTGAGTTCGGGCTGGCTAATGAACCATGAGGGAAATCTGAGCAATTAGCCTGTTTGACTTTTATGGTCATGGATTGGAGATAGAGTGTGAGACTCATTATGGAAGTCACAATGGAGGCTTATCTCAGGAGCCGTATTCAGGAATTTCAATTGGATAAAGGTAAAGGTTCCCCTTGACAATTTTTGTCCAGTCATGTTCGACTCTAGGGGGCGGTGCTCATCCCCGTTTCCAAGCCATAGAGCCAGCGTTTTTGTCCAAAGACAATATTCCGTGGTCACATGGCGAGTAGCTGGGACAAGCGACGGGCGCTCACTCCGTCGCGTGGATTTGATCTTACGACTGCTTGGTCTTCTGACCCTGCAGCACAGGCTTCTGCGGTTTAGCCCGCAGCGCCACCACGTTAAAATTGGATATGATCAAGGTTCACATTTCAGAAGTAAAGACAGAAATTAAGGTGACATTCCTCGACCTGGATATTAAGACGGAGATGGGAGACAAACCGACTGAATTCACTGAAATCACAACAACTACTATCATCAGAGAGAGAAAGAGGCTATTTTCCTTAAAAAGCAGGAGATGGGAGACAAACCGATTGAATTCACTGAACAACTGCTATCATCAGAGAGAGAGAAAGAGAGACTGTTTTCCTTAAAAAGCAGGATGAAATGTTTAAAAATGAGGAAAGGATCAGCTGGAATGAGGGGGGAAAGCATATTGAGATTACCTCGATAGGAAAGAATGTAAAAGGGGAGAAATGGGTGAATTTGGGGGCAAAAATTTATGATCAGAGATCGGATAGATCTGTGTTGCTCCAAAATCAAGACATCGATTATACTAGGATGAAATTATTAAACCGGATAGAAAATGCCTTAAAGAGATTTCATAGATGGCATTTTAAAATTGGCAAAAAGGAGACAAGCAGCGAATCTTGGACCTATGACACTGGAGCTGATAAGCAAAAATGAAAAGGGATAAAGTTACTTGTTGATTAAATAATAAAAATCATAGGTTTGAGAGCTATATAGTCACATATAAAGTAATGTGAGTAATATACTATAAGCAATTCTGGCCACGTAGGAAGCTCAGTGGTAGGTAACCATATGTAATTATGAACTTCAGAAATGTTGATGATGAATAATAACATTAGATGCTTTTGTTTTTAAGGTACATACAGTATATAGAGATCAAATATGTGTGAATTACTATAGTGAGTATGTAGATAAGATTAGGTACATAGTACATTTTTGTGTGTAAAAATGGAGATCTTTGAGGAATGTACTGTCCTGGCTTGGATTTTTTTTGTGGCTAAGTAATCTTAAAGATGAAATTAGAAATGTTTATTTTGAGTATTGGATA